CAGGGGCCAGGGAGCCAGAGAACCACAGACAGGCGGCCTCCTCAGCGACCCCTGGAGCCCCCCCCAGGCAAGGGCTGGTCTCCCAGTGCCGGTCGGCTGGGCTGGCCCCACTTACCTGCAAGTAGATTTTCATCTCCCTGCACTTGTCCAGGGCGCCGTTGTGCACCTGGATGGTCTGGTTCAGGGTGGGCTTGTGCGACTGCAGGAACAGCGCCCGCTCCTTCTGCTTCAGGTGGTCCAGGTGGCGACCCCTGGAGCCCCCCCCAGGCAAGGGCTGGTCTCCCAGTGCCGGTCGGCTGGGCTGGCCCCACTTACCTGCAAGTAGATTTTCATCTCCCTGCACTTGTCCAGGGCGCCGTTGTGCACCTGGATGGTCTGGTTCAGGGTGGGCTTGTGCGACTGCAGGAACAGCGCCCGCTCCTTCTGCTTCAGGTGGTCCAGGTGCTGCCCCACCGTGAACCCTGCCAGGGAGGAGGCTGGGTGAGTGGAAGCCCAGGGGAGCGCTGCAGGCCCAGCTCCAGGCTGCGGGAGCACCCCGCTGCCTCCCCCTTCTGCGCACGACTGCCACAGCATTGCACAGGCTGCCTCTGCCAAGGGCGCCCTTCCTCTGCCACGGCAGGCGGCTCCCCCTGGGCCGGGGCTCAGCTGCTGGTTCCCAGCCCACAGCAACCGGACAAAGCAGCTCGGGAAGCAAAGTGGAATCCTGTGTCTCACTGGAGTGAAGGGGAGGCTAGAGGCAGAGAAATTACCCAAGTTTGGACTCACTGAGGACACAGGTCATTAAACAGGTTACCCAGGCCATGGGAAAATGGGTCAGGGCATCTTTAATCCCCTCCTGGAGCCAGGGCCTCAGGGTTACAGCTCATGTGACACACAGCGGTGTCCCTGGGGTCACCCTCACCTGTGTGGGGAGGACAGCACCCCCACTCCTGTCCCTTGTTGAGCCAACCCCCTGCAGCACAGCACCCCCTGCTGAGCCTCCCTGCCTCCTGCAGCAGCGCCCCCTGCTGAGTCTCCCTGCCCCTGCAGCACAGTGCCCCCTGCTGCGCCTCCCTGCCTCCTGCAGCAGCGCCCCCTGCTGAGTCTCCCTGCCCCTGCAGCACAGTGCCCCCTGCTGCGCCTCCCTGCCTCCTGCAGCAGCGCCCCCTGCTGAGTCTCCCTGCCCCTGCAGCACAGTGCCCCCTGCTGCGCCTCCCTGCCTCCTGCAGCAGCGCCCCCTGCTGAGTCTCCCTGCCCCTGCAGCACAGTGCCCCCTGCTGCGCCTCCCTGCCTCCTGCAGCAGCGCCCCCTGCTGAGTCTCCCTGCCCCTGCAGCACAGTGCCCCCTGCTGCGCCTCCCTGCCTCCTGCAGCAGCGCCCCCTGCTGAGTCTCCCTGCCCCTGCAGCACAGTGCCCCCTGCTGCGCCTCCCTGCCTCCTGCAGCAGCGCCCCCTGCTGAGTCTCCCTGCCCCTGCAGCACAGTGCCCCCTGCTGCGCCTCCCTGCCTCCTGCAGCAGCGCCCCCTGCTGAGTCTCCCTGCCCCTGCAGCACAGTGCCCCCTGCTGCGCCTCCCTGCCTCCTGCAGCAGCGCCCCCTGCTGAGTCTCCCTGCCCCTGCAGCACAGTGCCCCCTGCTGCGCCTCCCTGCCTCCTGCAGCAGCGCCCCCTGCTGAGTCTCCCTGCCCCTGCAGCACAGTGCCCCCTGCTGCGCCTCCCTGCCTCCTGCAGCAGCGCCCCCTGCTGAGTCTCCCTGCCCCTGCAGCACAGTGCCCCCTGCTGCGCCTCCCTGCCTCCTGCAGCAGCGCCCCCTGCTGAGTCTCCCTGCCCCTGCAGCACAGTGCCCCCTGCCGAGCCTCCCTGCCCCCTGGAGCACAGCGCCCCCTGCGGAGCCTCCCGGCCCCTGCAGCACAGCGCCCCCGGCTGAGCCTCCCTGCCCCCCGCAGCACAGCGCCCCCTGCTGAGCCTCCACTCCGCCCCCTACTGACTCATCACACGCTGCCTCCTGGGCTCCCATCCAAGCCGTGGCATAGCCAGACCTAGTTTCCTTCACCTACCCCACACCAGAATGGACACCCCCCATTGGCTGCCAGGTTCCCAAGTGCCCTGTGATAGTGAAACTCCCCAGACCAAGGGATTCTGGGAATATCTGGGGCAGCACCTGGCTCCTGCCTGCTCCAACAACGCTCACTACTCACCAATGGAGTCGGGCACGTGCTTCCCTGAGGCGTTGAGGCAGAAGCTCAGGTTTATGCTGCCGAGATGGGAGAGAGAGATGTGCAATCAGACAGCAGCAGCTGCCTGCCTGGAGCAGGCCAACCCCTGCTGGAGCCCACCTGAGCCTTGCCAGACTCAGAGCAGGGGCAGGGCAACCACGCAGGACCTTCATAGACCCAGCAAGCCATTGCTGGGGTAGAGCCAGGAGCAGGATGCAGGAGTCCCACACTCTGCTCTGCTCTTAGTTACCCACCCCTCTGGGAAGATGAGGAATGCAATGCAACAGGGAAACTGAGGCACGGTCTCTGGTAGGGCTGGGAATGGGTGTCGGAGCTCCGGGCTGTGCTCTGGCCACTGTGCCCCCACTAGGTCTGGGCTGGTCAAAGGCTGGGTGACAGCTAGACCCAAGGGGGAAAGGCCTGGAGCCCTGAACCCAGATCCTGACACCTGCAGCGACCCCAAAGCCCGTGACATCTCCAGGGCTGCCTCCCACCCACTTCTAAATAATCCTCAGATTCCTGCCCCCACGCTGGTCCCCCCTCGCCCCAGCCCTGGTGCCGCTGTGAGCCAGCTAGCAGCCACCCCCAAGCGCCCGGGGACAAGTTAACCTGAGGGAGGTGGGAGCAAGAGGGATTCCTCAGGTCAAATCCCTCCCAGGGTGAGCAGGGCGGGGGTGGGGCCGCTGCAGCACCGGACTGGCCCCAGGGGGCATTCC